CCCCAAAACCCCAAAACCCCAAAACCCCAAAACCCCAAAACCCCAAAACCCCTACTTTACTAACATAAATTTAAACTATAATAATAAAAATAAACTTCAGATTGGCATAATGGAAAAAGAAGGTAAGGATTAAGCATAGCTATAACAAAAAGAAAACAATCTTGGGTTTTAGAATAGTAGTAATTGATTCGAAATTGGGAAAATGGGCAGATATGTTAACAAAAGATACAGAGGAGAATAAGCAACCTAAGCAGGAACGAGATGATGAGTATGATATGAAAGAAGACCAAGAAGCTGTTTTCGAGCCTGCCAATGACAGTAAAGATCATGATAAAAGCCATAACAGCGGTAAAAGTAAACGTAATGGATACATGAAAGATGCAGATGGGTCTCCTCGTCTAAGCAATGAACCTCCCAAGCTAATCATTGATGGTCGTCAAGATGACAAGCCTAAAACCGATCGTAAAGACAATCCTCAGCACGGCACTTCTGGAATGCCATTTGATGCAGGCTCCATTGACAGTCCTAAAAGCTCTGCCAAGCTCCAGAAGAAGCCTGATGATGCCAATGCTTCTCATGAGAAGAATAACACTGAGAAGTCTTTGAATTCGAAGCATGACTCTAAAGATGACTTGGGGTGGAATGAAGACTCCAAAAACAATGAAGATGAAAAGAACGACGAAGAACGGTCGCTGCTGTACCCTGACAACAACGCCAACATTTACAAAGAAGACAACAAAGGTCCTCCCAACGACGATGAAGTCGACTTCAGGAGGCCCAGCACACAGCCTGAGCTGCCCAAGAACCTCGGAAAGAAAACTGAAGAAGACACCAAGTCTGAAGCCGACGATGGCGAGAAAGAACTCACCGAGTGTCAGAAGAAGTCGATTGCCTTCCTTGACAGCTGGCAGTGGGGAGTCTTCATGACCGTGGTCACGGTGTACACACTCTTCTTTGACGACATCAGGATCATCCTCATTCCCAAGGCAGCTGATGACGCCTTCTACACGATCACGGTGCTGTGTTTCTTGCTGTTTCTGTTCGAAATCATTTTGTCTTCGGTGACAAAGCCAGGGTACTGGCTGTCGTTCTTCTTCTGGCTGGACATCCTGGCCACTTTCTCGATGGTCTTCGACATCGGTTGGATCATGGATCAGTTCAACAACGCAAGTCAGGCTGACAGTGCAGGCTCTCTTGCTCAGTCAAGTCGAGCAGCCAGAGTCACGCGTATTGTGAGACTCGTGCGGCTGATCCGGCTGGTCAGGATTGTCAAGCTGTACAAGCAAGCTAAGATCGCTCAAGAGAAGCGAGAAGAAGCCAAGCTCAAGAAACTCCGAGAAGAACGAGGCAAGTTCGAAGAGGAAGAAGAAAGCACTCAGAACCTCACCAAGCGTCAGAAACTCCAGAGACAGAAAACCATCGCTAGAGGCGCAGAAGACATTGACATCGACGAGTTCCAGCTAGAGTCCAAGATTTCGAAGACACTGTCCGAGAAGAACCAGAAGATCCTGATTATATTGATTTTGTCGACGCTGTTTGGAACACCGATGTTTCAGAGGAACACGTATGTGCAACCAATTCCGGCGCCAGAGTTTGGTCTCGACCACCTCATGCTTATCTACAAAAGCTACGATGCATTAAATACTTCCAGTCAGGAGGTATATAACACCTCATACTCTGAGTATGTTCTTCAGATGAAAGACTATGAATATCCCTTGATTGAATTAGAAGTACCTGTATTCGGCCAAACTAAATACAATGATGCTAAAGGAGATTTAAGAAGTGATGAGTTTACTGTTATTACAAGTTCTAACGACTCGAAGGCGACTTACAGTGTGAAGACATTTAACCAATATGAAGCTATGATTAACATTGCTAGAACCATCATGGTTTGCATCCTCCTTGTTGTCTCAAGTTATATCATAAACCGTGATGCCACGAGGCTGGTGCTTGATCCAATAGAGCGAATGGTTGAACGTGTTAGAATTGTTGCTAAAAATCCTATGGCCTTATGTTCTGAAGAAGAAATTGAGAATGAAGGAGCATTGGCTTTGGTCAAAAGTCAACAGAAAAAGAAGAAAAAGACAGAAGAAGACCATAAGAATGAAACAGCTTTCCTTGAAGCCTCACTATTCACTATTGGAAGACTGCTAGGTCTTTGTTTCGGGGAAGCAGGAGCTAGAATTATCGGAAATAACATTGCATCTTCAGAAATTGGAAGTGACTTTAACCCAGTCATTCCTGGGTCAAAAGAAATGGCAATTTTTGGTTTCTGTGATATCCGAGGATTCGCAGATGCCACAGAAGCTCTTGAAGAAGATGTCATGAAATTTGTCAACCAGATAGCAGAGATTGTTCATTCAGAATGTGATCTCCATCAAGGTTCATCGAACAAAAACCTTGGTGAAGCTTTTCTGATGGTCTGGAAATTCCCAAGAGATGATATTGATTCATTTGATGAGGAATTGTCAATTAGACCAGATAATAAATACTGAAATAATCTTGCAGATCTAGCAGTTTTAGGTTTCCTCAAAGCTAATGCTGGAGTTAACAAGTTTAAACACTTACTTGAATACAATAAAAATGAGAAAATGCTTGAGAGGATTCCAAATTACAAGATAAACATGGGCTTTGGGCTTCATGTGGGATGGGGAATTGAAGGAGCTATCGGATCACCATACAAAATAGATGCATCATATCTCAGCCCAAATGTAAATATTGCAGCTAGGTTAGAGGCAGCTACTAGACAATATGGAGTTTCGATTTTGATCTCAGGTGAACTTCAAGATTTATTAACAGAACCAATGAAAGAAATAACTAGATTGATAGATATTGTCACTGTAAAAGGAAGTGCTGTCCCTATGAAATTTTATACTATAAACCTAAAGCTTTGTTGATTAGATCCAGTGCAGCATCCTTTGGAAGGCATGTCTGCAACTCAAAAGAAAGAAAAGAGGACAGAAGCAAGGAAAAACCTCTTCACTCAGATCACTAACAACATTATCTCAACTGAGGATCTTCTGAATGAGTATGAAGATATCAACAAAATGATGAATGATCATAACAGTAACGATGAGGAATTCAAAAGGCTTTATCAGCAAGCCTTTGAGCAGTATATTCAAGGCAACTGGAGAGATGCCTTAAAGATATTTGAGGCTTGCCGAGAAATCAACCCTGAAGATGGCCCTGTAAGAACACTTATTCACTACATTGAGTCATATAATAACCAAGCACCTGACGATTGGGAAGGATTCAGAAAACTTACTAGGAAGACTTAGTTCCACATTTTCTTCTTATAATTCAAGTAAAGGAATTGATTTGGGGTTTTGGGGTTTTGGGGTTTTGGGGTTTTGGGGTTTTGGGGTTTTGGGGTTTTGGGG